AATTTCTCCAACAAGTAGCCTGCAATGGAAGACCGGCAATGTAGCACAAGGTAGCTTGCTGCTGAAGGTGGACTGAGGACCCACGTTTATTCCCTTCTTTTCACCTCACAAAACTACTATGAATGCCCAGTTCCTAACCCCAGGAACTGATGTGTGTTAAGGACTCCTGTCCTGTGTATGCTTCTCTGGGGTATAGGAGTAATAACAAGACCTCACAACTGTAGGCCACTTAAAACAGTTGACATAAACATTGTAAAAGGCAATAATATTACTAAGGATATGGGATGTTTAAAATTGCTATTTTTACAAACTCTCTAGAAATGGCAACCTTTTGTATACGTGTAGGTGCTTGAAACTGAGGTGAACTGTGCACATTTTTCAATGTTGTGAAGGAGAGAGGACCAACCAGCAGGCTTCCAGTGGTAGTGGCATGGGCACACAATATGGGAAAGAGATTCTGAATTGTATGATGGCTAAAGTATGCTAGAGTCCTAGGTTCTCAGTCTTCATTTAAAACATCAGTAAGAACTCACTATTTAAAAAGAATATCTGTAGAAGAACTTTTAAGTTTCTATTTGTTGTTGTTGTTGTGTTCTTAAAATGTAGCCACAGCACAAATGTCATTATTTGATTTTCAGGGGGTGCTCACCCTCTGAGACATCAGCCCTCTCAAATATTAACTTCAGAAGAACTGATTATCTTTGGAGAATGTACTTATGTGTCCTTCCATAGCTTTTATTGAATTCTTCATTAACTCAAGGTCCATTGCAGTATCAAAACAACCCTAAAAGGCAACCTCAAAAAGAGACATTCCACATGCTTTTATGTAAAATGGTAGAAGGCCATAACTAAAAGGATGTTAGCCAATTAGTAAATCAGTGATACGTGTGTGTCCAATCAGATCACTTTTTCTTTTCTACTTCACAGAGGGGATTAATTCTTACACAGGTAACAGGTTTCAGAAAATTGGTGTCACACCTTCACAACGACCATGTCCCTTCTGCGTATCTATCTTTATAGAGTTATAGAGTGGCCTGAAATTCATCCTACTGCTTCCATCCACCCATCATGCTCACAGAAAGGGTGATGAAATAAGATAAAAACCACCGAGGCTTGTTCTCCTCAAATTAAATGAGATGAAGTTCTAAAGCTCATACTCTTTCCATGGAGGCCACAATGATCACAGCCTCTTAGCACTGTCAAGCAAACCCCACATTTGTCAAATAGGCAAGGAAAAATCAAAGGTCATGAGTGACAGAAACAATGCTAGGAGAAATGAGGAAGATCTTAAATACAGACATTCTTTAAAACCTTTCAACTCACACCCAGATACAATAAATTTTTCCACATGATGGAATAAGTATTTTATTTTGGAAGGCATAGAAACCTAGCTATTTCCCTGCCTAACAAGTTTCTATTCTTGGATGTATAGTAATTTATAGATTTTTTTTTCTCTCCATTCCCATTAATTGATGATCAATCTGCTTCCCTGATAAACACCTCAGGGAAAATGAGAGACCCAAAAGTTTTGTTTCTCCCAAAATGTTTTGCCATTACAGCTTATCTCTAACCATTTCATAAGTTCATAAGACTTCATAAATTGTATTAAGGAACACAATTTATTTTAGATACATGCAACATTCTGCAGAAAATTATCTTCTCAAAGATTAGAAAATGGACATATTTCCTTGACAGTTCCACTTATGATGCCATGACCCGTTCTGTTATTTAGGTCAACTGCAAGTCACCTATGGCATTAATGTCACCAAAGCAATTACTAATGGCCTCTGTGCTCTTCCACATAACATATAGTCCCTGGTTTTCTCTGTGTCCCCTCTCTGTCATTCCTCTTCGTCTTCCATTAACTTATTTCATCCTTTCTCTTTTCTTTGCAATTTCCCCCCACTGCTTTTGCCAATGATAAATATGAACTTTGTTCAATTATGCTGGTGACACTGAGGGTTAACACTCAACTTCTGAAGCATGTTAAGCTACTAAGTATGTGCTAGCATAGGAAGGCACAGAGAATATCAGACAGGTAACTTCATTTTGAAGATGTATATAAGATAAAATAGCAAATTACAATTCTAAAAGTCAAGGTTGATAAAGAAAATAATGATTTATGATGTAGAGACTGATGTTCTAGATGCAACAAACTGGCTCTGGTGCTAGTTCCAAGAAAGTCTTCTTAAAAGCCTGGAATGTCAGACATTGGATACTGGGACACCCAGTGTAACAACTTCAAACAACCTACCATTTTGATATATTTGGTTTGGTTTCATTTAAAGTTTATATCTGAACTTCACAGTCATATACGAATCTTATATATTTATCACACCCTGTAATTAAAATATACTTGCTTCACTTTCATGTAGCCAGCCAATCACAGGAGCTCTGCTCCACTCACCAGGAGGAAAATAGATGAACAGATTCTGTTAGTGATTCGGGTTCTTATATCTCCCACAATCAAAAGGTTTGACTGCATCATTTGAATTAAATCAAAATGTACTACCCTAAGCCTGGATATCTTAGAAACAGTCTTGAAGTAGGAGCAGCTACTGTTAAAAAGACAAGCTGACATTTTTCCAACCCTGATTCTAGTGCTTCATTTTATATCGACAAATTGCCTATGTCAAATAATACGATAGTCTATATCCTGAACTAAGACACAATCTGCTCTTGGCAAAATCAAAAACAACCATAGAAAAGTGGGAAAAAAAATCCTGTTTGATTTTTACCAGAAAACAATGGCTGGCCCTGAGTGACAAAAAGCAACTTGTCCATGACAGAAACATATACATACCTTCTGAAGACGGCACATATTCACCGCAGTTAGGATAACTTACCTTTCTGCCTTTGCTGCCTGCAGTCTCCTCCCGATCATGTCCTACTCAAAGTGGGATAAATGTGTGGCATGGAGTAAACTTGTGAGGGTAAGAGAAACACTATGCCACCATTTGGGAGAAAAAAAGCCCTCCTCGTGATTCCTATGCAGACGAATTGGAGGGAAAAGAAAGAGCATATAGCATAATCCCTCAGGAACTTCGATGTGCCCATAACTGCCTGTTTCCAAGTGGAACTGTATTTTCAAGTCATATGCATGGAAACGGGACTTTCAATAATACCAAAATACTTGGCAAGAGCAATCTGATCCCAAAACTTGAAGACAATGTATCCTTTGCATGACAGATAAAGAGGCAAATTCTTATATCTAGATGACTAAGTCTCTCATCATTTTCTCACTACATTGCCAGATTCTCCACTTGTTTCCTTGTACTAGATCTTAAGAAAATAAGAAAGTATATGGAGCGAGAAGCTATTGGAAATAAGAACTATAAGAGACAAGTGCACACGTGAAAAAGTTGAGAAATAAGGAATCGAGGAACACCAAATGAGGAGGCCTAGTGTTGCAGTAGACAACTGCTCCCATGTGGGCACACCGCAACATGCTTTCCTATTTGCTTAGATAAGACCATGCATCATTTTTATAAAACCAAGAGGTCAAATGACTTCGGATTACAATCCAAAATTCTACCATGAAGTTAGTATTTAGGAGATCGGATCAGCAGAACCCAGTAACTAGGTCTTTCTAACACATCCCTTTGTAATAGATATTCACATATTAATAGATATCCAGATGGAATAGGAATTCATATATTTACTTGTCTACAGAATGGCCACATTAGAAGATAACTGGAGAAGGAAGTGGATACCCATGGCATTGAAGTAGAATGGATCTTCAAAAAGTGCATAAAAATGTGCAATGCAAAAAAAAAAAAAATTGGAGGGATTTCAATTTTTCTTTTCCAAAATAAACTCAAACTTTAATTTCACCTCCACCAACATTCTGAATTATCCTCATATATCCACTATCAGTGCTAGAATCATCTTCATCAATTCAGTCTTTTCTTAGAACTAAATCTACTGATATGCATCACTAGTGGACAAAGACAGCATTCATAAGACTCACTTCCAATGTGAATCAAATACACAAATATACACATATGAAATACATTCACAAAATAGAAACAGGATAGCTATGTGTATGTAAACCTAATAGATGTCATGAAAGTTAATCACAGGAATCTGCATTCCATTTTCTAACACATCCCTTTGTAATAGATATTCACATATTAATAGATATCCAGATGGAATAGGAATTCATATATTTACTTGTCTACAGAATGGCCACATTAGAAGATAACTGGAGAAGGAAGTGGATACCCATGGCATTGAAGTAGAATGGATCTTCAAAAAGTGCATAAAAATGTGCAATGCAAAAAAAAAAAATTGGAGGGATTTCAATTTTTTTTTCCAAAATAAACTCAAACTTTAATTTCACCTCCACCAACATTCTGAATTATCCTCATATATCCACTATCAGTGCTAGAATCATCTTCATCAATTCAGTCTTTTCTTAGAACTAAATCTACTGATATGCATCACTAGTGGACAAAGACAGCATTCATAAGACTCACTTCCAATGTGAATCAAATACACAAATATACACATATGAAATACATTCACAAAATAGAAACAGGATAGCTATGTGTATGTAAACCTAATAGATGTCATGAAAGTTAATCACAGGAATCTGCATTCCATTTGAAAGACACCTGAGAATGCTTTAAGGTTTTCTAATTGGAAAAGAATTCTAAATGTCTTATAAGCCACAATAAGTTATTTAAATAGCTGTATTCCTTAAATTCTAGATAAAGCAAATGGGGACAGTCCCAAAATTATTATCCAAATGATTTAATTAATAGAGAAATTGAACCCCTTATGATAAAAATACTGCCTCAATTGTTTCTGTGTGTTTGTTTATCAGTCTCTTTGATCGTCCCAAAAGGGCATTCACTCTTTATTTTTTAAGATTCTGGAGGAGAGAAATGTCTTATGAATCTTTTGGAAGAGCCATCCTTTCACATATTGTTCCTGAAGATTTCTCCAAACCACTGAAACTTTTGCAAAATTTCCAGGTATGACTAGATTGTACTCACGATCATTGCACTGGTTTCCAGAGTAGGAGGTCATGGAACAGTCACAGGTGAAGCCTTCCCACTGCTGCATGCAGACCCCTTGGTTAGCACACGAATCTTCCTGGCAGGTGGTACTGGGTCCTGGTAATTCACAAAAAAGAGGGGACAGAAAAAAAAGGAGAAGGAGAAGAAATGCTCAAAATTAGTCAGCTTCAAAGAAATCACCTATATTTCCTATTTTCATGCCCCCAGACAGTCAAAAACACAACCACTAAAAATGTCAACTCTCTCATGCAACAAGAATTCATTATATACAAAAGAGGACAGAATACACACTTAGCCACAAATTATCAACAGTTACACACAGAAGGGAGAGGGCTGAACATACTGTTCTTCCATTAGACAGACTTTGCAGAAGAGCTTCTTCTCTACCATTCAACTAGAAAGAGAACTCATTGGAGCATAGTCTTTCTTAATGTACAATGCTGAAGTAGAGGGGGAAAAAAAAGCCCTCCCTTCATTCTTATAAATAAAGGAATAAAGTTTTATCCTGAAACTAAAAGTCTCTAGGTCTACCTTGTGACATTTAAAAGATGCTTGATGAGGAGGAGGGAGAAGAGAAGGAAGTGGAAGATTATATAGCAGCTAATGTGTATTGATATTTTATGGGTGATAAGTACTGAGTATAAGCAATTTACCTACATTATTTAATTAAGCCCACCAGTAACTCTAAGAGTCATTATGATTACCTCCATTTTCCAGATTTAAAAACTGGACTCAAAGAGGAAAACTAATTTATTCAGGGTCACACATTTGGTAATTAATAGATGCTGATGTCCACTTGGGTAAATTACCACTGAGATCCATGCTGTTAAACACACCAGTGGTTCTCAGAGTGCAAACTTCAGACCAGCATCCCCTGATGATTGTGAGGAATGTAAATGGTTGGGCTCCAGCCCAAGATAAATTAGAAATTTGGAGGAAGAGGAAGAGTCTATTTCCACAAACTTTCAGGAGATTCTGACACAGCCTAAAGTTTGAGAACCACTGCACTACTCTACAGTGCTCCTGTAGGAATTTCAGAAGTGTGTTCTCTTAAATGGAGCATGTACATAATAAAGGATACAAAAATAATTTTTTTGAGAGTTTTTTTGCTATAGGGCGCGTTCACTTGCCAGACAGACAAAGACAGAGAGACAGAAAGTGAGAAATCACCCCCCCCCCAGGTGGGATGGTCACGCTGCAATCCCTTCTCCTCCATTCTCTTCTAGGGAATATCTTGGGTGCGCATGCACATGCGCCCAGCGTGAGTTTAAGCCACTGGGTCTGGGACTCGAACCGCAGTTGACTACGTGGGAGTCCAGCGACATAGCCATTACGCTAACTGCTGGTCCCGAGGATACAAAAAATAATTTTTGAGGTACTTGAAGAAAATATTAAAATCATGTTTATGTTTTCGTTTTACTCTTTATTACTTCAATGTTTGTGTGTCTTTCATATACTAATGATGCATAAGTATAATGGTACCTGTGTTTAATTTATAAATAAGCTTACCTATTTTGGAGGTGTTACTAAAATATTTTACTGATATGAGTGGGCAACAATAAAGCTTGATGATCTCTGTCTTACAGATTGCCATTCAAATCTTTCTTTAGAGCCTTCCCCTCAACCATTCTTTTTATTAATAGCCATTTTCTACCCTAATCTTCAGATTTAAGATAAAGGTATATTTTTAGAATTACTTTAATATTCAAGATAACTTCATACAGTTCCCAAAAAGCCTCAGCAAAGAAGATGAACCCTTTGACTCAGCCAGTGTATCAATCAGGAATTAAAGCATAAAAATGATTGACACAGTAACAAACATATCAATTGCAATAACTACATGTTCACAATTTCCAAGCTAAATCTCACACAGACGGAGAATAGAGAAATGAAAGCATGCAGGGTCTTATGAACGCATGTTCAAAAGATATGCATGATTTGTTTGTCTTCTGGGGGGACATTATATGCTGTATTTATTCATGAAGGGTGGAAGGAGCACAGGCTATCACTCAGACAAAGTTATTAGGATATGACATAAGAAAGTTCAAGACAATTACAAGAACTGGGGGAACAGCATGGCCACTGGGTTTCTGCAGCTCTTGTTTGCCATGTGGTTCCCCCATACAGCGATGAAAGGAAGTACATGGTCATGTTCTCAGTGGGTCTTAAACTTGAGCATTATGTTGTACAAGTTTCATTAACAATGGCAAATCAGGACAGCTTCTTTCAAAGGATAAAAGCTTCTGAGAAGTCCATGGGGCTTCCTGACCAAACAGTTCTCACCAGACAATGGGCTGGTAATTCAATTGTACTCAAGAATCAGTAACACATGGAAGGCTTTTCTTTGAAAAGCAGCAGAACAGCACAAACTTTGGGAAAACATAATAACTCTTTGCATGTTGATTGAATTTGAAGACAATGGCTTTTCCTTGCCTCTCTCTCACCTTGATTGCCAAAATTTAACCGCTTTCTTTTTTTTCTTTTCTTTTTTTTGCAGAGGTTTTTGCTATAGGGTGTGTGCGCTCGCCAGACAGACAGAGAGAGACAGAGAGACAGAAAGCGAAAAATCACCCTCCAGGGGGGATGGCCACGCCACAATCCCTTCTCTTCCATTCTCCTCTCGGGATCTTGGGTACGCACGCACATGCGCCCGGCATGAGTTTAAGCCACCGGGTCCGGGACTCAAACCGCGGTCAACTACATGGGAGTCCAGCGACATAGCCATTATGCTAACTGCTGGTCCCAAGATTTATCCATTTTCTAAAGACCAACCCCAATACCTTCCCTAGGGGAAAAATTCCCCATGATCATATCTTCAAATAATAGTTCTTCCGTTTCTTAGTGGTCACAGCTCACTTACTACCTGCAGCACGAATTTTTGCATGTGATAATATTCAGTTTCGTACTTTATTGTACATTATACTGTTTATGTAATCCTCCAAGTGTGTTATTTTTTCACTACTGTCCTAATGTAGAGAAAGTATTTTAGGAAATGGTGAGTTGATCTGAATTAAAGGCAACCTGATTTGCCTGTGTCTCATACTTCCAAAATCTGAGTATGACGGACATTGGTACTCAGCAAAGTAAGCAGAAAGAGCTCTTTCCTATTTGTCAAAGGCTGGTCAGGAATCAAGTACAGAGGGAATTACAGATAATTTCTAAATTCTATTGAATTTATTTTATGTACACTTATGGGTGGACATCAGGTAGAATCAGAAAATTGTCAAAGGCTGTCTACATTTTTTTGTAATTAATTAATTCACTAATTTAATTTTCTTTGATACATTCAATCACATTATTATTTGGCTTACAAAATAGATATTTCAACAGGTGAACATTTCTCCCTAGTACAGTTGATAAAACTATGAAATATCTTCAACAGATAATACCACATTTCTTTGTGCCATTATTGCTTTGCCTCCTTCTTTTTCTTCTAAATGTCCTTCTTCTGATGCTCCTCTTTCACATGCACTATTGTAATCACCCATGAGTAAGAACGTTTTCAGTAAGGAACAACAGAATAGGCAATGCCTTCTCCTCAGTCCACAAGTAGATTTCAACTTTTTTCAAGGTTGAGATCACAGGGTTTCCGCCACCTCCTCCATATTCATTTTCCCCTTCTTGCCTTAGCTCATGGGCCTCCAGCCATTCCTCCCTAATTTTAGTTACTTTTAGTTCCTCTCTGACACAGCAGCACTCAGAGTGTTGCCCCAAACTAGTAGCATCTGTATCACTAGGAGTTTATAAGAAAGGCCTGTATCCAGGCTCCACGCAGAACTACTGACTGGGGACTGGTTCACAAGTCCAAGTCCTGACAAGCCCTCCAGTGGCTGTAACACCTGCTGAGGCTGCAGGATCACTACTCTAACACCTCAAGCCCATCTTTAGCATCAAGCCTGCTTGCACTCGCTAGACCCATGGCCTGAAATCTCCTTCCTCCAGATCTTGAGGTGACTGGTTTATTCTTTTTTTTTTTTTTCTTTTTTAAGAGAGAGGTTTTTTTGTTATAGGGCATGTGTACTTGCCGGAGAGACACAGAGAGACAGAAAATAAGATATCACCTCCCAGGGAGAATGGCCACACTGCAATCCCTTCTCCTCCATTCTCCTCTTGGACTTTGAGCCCACACGCACACGTGCTTGGAGTGAGTTTTAAGCCACGGAGTGCAGGACTCGAACCCTGGTTGACTATGTGGGAGTTCAGCAATGTAACTATTATGCTACCTGCTGCTCCCAAGACTAATTTGTTCTTATTCTTCAAGTATGAGCTCAAAGGAGTTTTCTCCATACTATTGGGTCATCGGGAAGGTTGTGACACATCTTTGCATAGAAAAATACATCAATACTTTCCTGATGAGCTAATATTTGTTTAAAAAGTTCCCAACAGTGTTACATATATCTGTCATCATGTCTTCCTGGTAACTTAAGGCCTAACAATTATGCAGCTTGTAGTTATATTGTGGAAGTTATTTTTTAATTTGACAAATAATAATTATACATTTTTATGGAGTACAATGTGATGTTCTGATACATGTTTACAAAGTCAAATAATTCAATGCAAGCTAATGAACCATCTATCATTTCACATATGTATCACATGTTTGTGGCTGAAAACTTTAAATATACAGCAATTTTGAAATATATTGGGTTGTAGGAAAAGTCATGATGTATTTTTCTATGTTTTTCTATGCAAAAAGGAGTCATGATTTTTCCAACAACCCAATACAATGTATTGTTATTTATTATACTATATTACATTCAGCAAATCACTAAAGTTTATTTCTTCTAGCTGAAACATTATACTATTTGCTCAGTATCTCTTCTTGCCTTTTCCATCCTTCTCCCATCCTCTGATAACCGTCATTCTACTCTCTACAGCTATAAACCCAAGTTTTTAAGATACCACATATAAGTGAGATCATTTGTTGTTTTACACCTGGTCTATTTTACTTAGCAGAAGGTCCTTCAGGCTTATTCATGTAGCAAATGACAGGATAGCATTCTATTACATATATAAACCACATTCCCTTTCTCTATTCATCTGATCATAGAGACTTAGGGTGCTTCCATATTTTACTATCATGAATGATGCTTCAA